ATAAGGAAAGTCGCTTGGCATCAGCGGCTGTACTCGGTAACTTAGAGGAGCTGTTTTGGAAATATAGACGCGGAGCAGTTCGACGTTTCAACATTTATGGAAAGAAACGAAGAATTTTGGCTGTTATTTGGATGTTGTGGACCATCCATGGGTAGTAATGATAGGAATGATTGCGGTGTTTGGTATGTAGATTTGAAGAGCGGTACGTTACTGAAACGAGAGCGAAGGGGATAACAATAATCGAAAGAATTCTTCTGTTGCGAGACAGTCGCATTCAAGTTTTTTCTATGATGGCACCGCTGGAATTCATCGTTATTGTTGCTGTTGTTAGGCGTTAATTGGATTTAGTTCGCTTTTCTTGGCTAGTATTGCCTGGAATAAAATAAGCAATTTTGTTAATTTTTTTAATACGCCTTGCTGGGTGCTAATTTAGCTGATCTGTTTTACGAAATTACTTTTACATGTTATGTAATTCACATCTTTTGTTTGCATTCGCTTGCAGAGAGTGATCTTGTTGTTTTTAAAAAGCTAATGTTTGTAAAATTATTTGTGATAGTTATCGAGCGGTATTTAAATGAAAAAGCAGTTTTATATAATTTTTTTCTTTTTGCTTATCTCATCATTTGACGTCTTTCAATTACTTTGGTAATTTAAAGGTCCTTTAAAGTTTTAGTTCACTGAGTAATTTCTGAAGTTATCAAGGATACATTTTCCAAAAGGTGATTGCTTTGGTAGCTCCTGTAACTTTTTTGTTGTTTTTAATGATAATTAATCTCTTTCTTTGAATTTGCAGAATTACTGCGAAGAAGATACGTTGAACAACTGTGATTGGTGATACGAACGGGCTCTGATCTTGCAAATTTTATCCAGGTCTATCTTATAATGAATATATTTTTATCAAAGATTTTTAAAGGTGTTTCCACTTTTGTTGCTAACATTTTGAACATTTTATAAATTACTGTGATAACTTTCATAGTCGAAAAAATGCGATGTAGTATCTGCTTCATTTTGGGAAATACTTCATCTATCGTTAAGAGCCTAGTAGTGAACCTAGTCACCAACCAATGAGCATTCAACGATTTATTACGCGGAAAAAAACACTGTACTGGATCTAGTACGTATTTTCACTTACATAATTTCCTTCAACTAACTTGGTTTTTTGCCATTTAGGTGGAGCTTGGTAAACTTTGATATTTTTGAAAAGCATGGAGCACCTTTAGCATTTTTTAATGCAGAAAGCTTTAAAAAAAATGGTACCTCATATTCTCCGAGTAGTTAGTTGAACGGTTTCATATCGTGTTGTTAGTTTCTAAAGTTTGGCTGATTTTAGTTTAATGGTTTTTTTAGGATTTTAAATGACCTATTAGTAAAGTTCAGGGCGTAGTTTTTTAAAGAGCATTATTTTTTTTTTCTAGTGAAGGGGAGACGTTTTTTTCTGGCATTCTAGTTTCTAGACATTCAAACAATTATTTCCAGTACCTTAATTGTGTACCGTTACCTCAATTTTTCTAATATTTAGATTTTTCACACTACAGTTTCCCTTTTCGACTTCAAATGACTAGTGTTGTGCAGGGCTTTTTTAAGACGCATTAAAATAGTTCCTTGAAGCCAATTATTAGAAGGAGTGTAATGACGATATGGAGAAGATGACAAATAAATTCTAAGATTAGCCGTAGATTTTTTAATAATATTTTAACGGACAATCGTTTTTGAAGACAGTAAGAGTCTCTCAATTCGGATAAAGAGAGAAGTGTATCATGCCGTTGACATTATTCTTTTTTTTTTTCTTTTGTTGAAGCAGTTAGATGATGTTTCTTCATTTGCTGGTATCAAGTCATTCTATCTATGATTGTATTATTTTTTATATCTTTTGTGTAGCCCTAGGAGTTCATTTCACGGCTTTGTTACTTATCAAACTTCGTTTCTTCACAGAAAAGTTTATTTTGTAGTTAGGTCTTTTGCGGTTGCGGTGGAATTCATCAGGTTGTTGTTTTACAAGCCCTTAAAAATTTAGGTCTTTCACACATTAATCACTTGAACCTTGAAGCCGGTTTTAAACGATAATTGCATAAGTTTAAATCAATATATTTACACTCATGTACCGATCAAATTGGTGAATGGATTTACAGTCACCTCTTAAACACGGTTGTGCCGTTGCAAGCAATGGTAAAGGGCTTTTATGTCTTAATTAAAGGTGCTTGGGGTTTCGTAGTGCACGATTTGTTGGTTTTTGGTGAGTATTTCGTAATGTCACTCTTAAAAGCAGTTTCCGCTACTCCTTAGAGACACTTTGATGCCTTTCTCGATAAAAATTTATCCATTTACTTCTTGGAGCAAAGTAACCACATATGCTCAGATTGTCTTCCACACTTCTGAGCCAGCTTTCCACCAAATAGGTATTTCACTAAAAGTAATTTTGATAGTAGTTCTGGCAAGCAATAAAGAAATGTTGGCTTACTACTCTTTAATAAATTTTTTAAATTTCTTTTTGGTTTTCTTCCACCCGAGTAGTGCTCCTGTTCGGAAAGAACCGTTGCATTATAACTTGCAGTTTCATTTTTCATTACGTCTTGTCGAATATACGGAAAGATCACTTTCACGTTTGATTTTTCGTGACGCATCCTAAGTTAAGTCAGGGTATTCTGTACTTGTCTTCGGTCTGTAGCTGCTGACAGGGATTAATCATCTTCCTTCTTATTCTCATTTGTACTCTTTCTTTATTGGAGTAAAAGCAATGTTCATCGCTTCTTTTTTTAAGGATTTTTTGTCAGTTTTAAAAGTAAAAAATTGTAATATTAAATCAAGTGGCTTATGAGAAAGAAGGAAGAGACGAGTGGTGGCGCTATATGTAAAGCTGTAATGTTTGGACACATAAAAACTTCAATCGATATTCGGACGCTTGGCTAATCGAGCACTTTCGAAAGAAAAAAGAAAGTGAATGAAGACTGATCCATTTCTTCTGGCAAAGAAAAACAAACTTCAATTTCTTGTCCTGATTGTTACAGCTCGTTACTTTTGTTGTGCCAGTTTTGAAATCATGTTAGATATACGAAATGATCTTAGTTTTCAGGCCAACCCAACACCCGTTTTGCCCCTTGAGTGCTTTTGGATTACTTTTCGAAGCGGTATGTTCACTGTTATTCATCGGCGTCGATTTTAGTCGCTTATGTACATTCTAGTATGCTCGCTTCGTACTGACTTTTCTCACAAATAGTTTTTAAGAATACCGTAAATGAATACCGCATAAGATCAGGAAATTCAAGCTATTTTTTCAGTATGTTTACTAGATTTGGCGAGCCCTCAATCTATCTGTTACTATGTTGAGCGTAGAACTAAACTGTAGGTTTTTCATCTCGTGAAAGGTAATGTAACTCGTTTTAAAAATAAATGGTTGTTCGATTAGTTCATGTTGTAAAACTTGTTGATTTAGGCAGTCACAGCGTAACGTTACTGTTTATTGGTCATAAGGTTGTGTTAGGAGCAGAATCTTTTCAGTTGTCGCACAAAATTCGAGGTATGTTGTACGCCTGATGTTTTGCTCAGTTTTTTCTTGTCGTGCGTACATATTGAATGGATTTGAGGTCTACTTAAGTTCTACTATTTCAGCCCAGTTTAGGAAAATTTTTTAACGGTTTTTGAGGTTGCTTTAGTGTGTAGGTGTGTGCAACAAAACATGTTATCATAGCCTTGTTTAAGTCATCGTACAGGAATAGTCTTCTATTTCTGGGCTTGTTCTTTTTGACCTCGTAGTTCAGTTCTTCCCCTTGTTACCAAGTGACCGTAACATTAAGTTTGTTTTAGGCTAGCGGTTAGTTTTCCAACCACATGATTCTTTCGAGCTTATGGTATAGTGAGATTTCTTTGTGCAGAATTTGTAACTTTTTCATTTCCTTCACTTCGGAATAAGTTAAATTGGAGATTAAAAGTAGATTAAAGATATAATAAACATTTAAGATATTTGTAACTTGACTGGTTAGTTACTTACTAGCTTTGTTGTCAATTGAAGAATAAATAGTGAGTGCAAGGCGTTGAAAAAGTGAAGGTCCCCGGTGCATAAAGAATGGTTTGCGTGTGCGAAACCTGTGTAGTCAGTCGCAAATTGAGAAGAATCGATAACGCAACCGCGCAGCACGGTGAATTGTCAGCAGCGTTTTTACTCTATGGAAATTAATTCGAAACGATCTCTATTAACGTATAAACTTTATCAGGAAATATCTGTTTATATGTAACTAAGAATGTTGCTTTTTTTTTCTTTTTTTTTTACCTCAAAGCATTTCCGGAAAAAATGGTGAAAAAGCCTGAGAGGGAAATTTGTCTTGTATAGTTGTTTACACTAAGGTGCGAGAGCGACAGTGTATAATGAGAATTTGAGTTTATACTTGAGGGGTTGCCACAGGGCCGCAGATACATTTACAGCCTAATTGCAACTTAAAACCACATCTTGTTATTTGCAGTAGGTCTTTCATAACATTATCAGTTTGCTAACACTTCCTAGTCTTTTAACTCCAGTAACTGTGGTCATTTACTTTAATAGTTGCTTGAAGTTTCTTTGAACATGCATTTTTAAACCCACTTTTTTACTTTTCCTCTTTCTTAGAAGCTAACGTTTCAATTTTTTTGTTCAAAAGTGTGTTCGGCTGTTGTGACACGTAGAGTATTTTGGTAGAGGAGTTGATGTACTAGTATTGTATAAGGCAGTTTTCATTTCACTGCGTCGCATTGGTCATTAATTGCTTCTTTTAGTTTTTGACGTTTGATTGTTCGAGTGCCGTAGCTTATTAATGAAAATGCAGCCTAAGGGTCTATAGTAGGCTAAGTCAGTACTGATAGCTACCGGGATGAAAGCTGTAAGTAGTTTCGGTTTGAAAAGCTGTAAATCTGCCTTTCAAGTGAAGTCACGTTCAGGAATTAAATGCGCTTGACAGATTTATGAGGACACTTAGTTAGCGGCACGGTTTTCAGGTTTGTTTTCCCCCGACTGGTGGTTGAGAAATGTCAGTATGCATTACCAGTATGTGGCAAATTTAGTTTTGTAAGTTATTAACCAGTGCCAAGCTTGGGTTCTGCTCCCCACCTTTTAATTGAATTGTTTAGATCTTTACTGGGTTCATTTTTATAGATGGGTCGTTCTTCTGTTTGCTCTTTTTACAGTATGGTATGTCTTAAATTTCGTGTTTTGTCTCGCAGCTAGTCTGCAGACGGATTTGGAAGGAGTTGATGTAGTCCTTGAAGGTTTTTTAGATTTGTTTGTTGGATTAGTACAGGTCTCTACTTCGTTTATTTTGAAGCATCCTAACAGGGACAAACTAAGGTATAGAGGCTCTGTTTAGAAAGAATATTTTTATATGATGGTTTTCAAGTTATTTTTTAGTTGTTTGAGCATTACTAACAGATAGTATATTCGTGCTGAGTTTGTCTGCCACCCCTTGCACTGGTTTCATTACCCGAATTAAGCCAATTTGCCGTATATATATATATATATATATATATATATAT